TTCCCGATGACCGAGGGCAAACCCACGGGCTGAGTCTGGCTGCCGGTGGGTGGGTGTAACTGGTGTCCGTTCGGGTAGCAGGGGGGGAGGGGGGGGGCAGCAGACGGGCAAGTCTCGCTCGGAAAGGATGGGCAATAAAAGCGGGAGACCATCCACACACGTGGTTGTTGTTGGCAATGTTGATGTCTCTACGCTTTCTTTTTTTCTTTTGTTTTTTATGCCGTGTTTGCTGATTTTGTTTTGAAATGGATGGTTTTATTCGGTGCGGTTTGGTGCGGTGCGCGTTTTTGTAGCTTTGTCTTGTTTTTTTTGTCCTCCCACTCCTGTTTTCGCGGTTTCTTGAAGCGACACCGCCCGCCGCTTGTCAAACTTTTGGTGGGCCCTCGAGCCAAAATGTGTTGTGTGTGTTGGCGCGCATCGTCTGCGTGTGGGGTGTGTGCATTCCATACATGCCATCTCTATGCGTACAATACCGGCGTAATTTTGCGTGGTTCGTTACCGGGGGTGCGCGTGGGGCATCGCATCGGCCTGTTTATTTTAGACAGCTGTTGTTGGTTTATTATCTCTTGGTGTGTCTGTCGTCGTCTTCCTCTTCGTCTTCTCCCTACTCTTGTTTTTTTTCGTACACGTGTTTAGAGGAAAGCCCCACGTACCGGCACGGGCCGTCACGACTTAGAAGTGAGGCAGGGGGGGTTGGTTTGCGCTCCCCGCGTGGGCTTCCCACGAGGCCTGGCGTTCTTCGTGTTTCCTTGCAGTGGTGGTGGTGGTGGTGGTGTCGCTTCGCCTGGAGTGTAAAATTGGGCCCGTCCCCAGCGGTTTATTTTGCCGCCGCGCGGGCTTGAAGGTTTGGTCCCCACGCAACACGGTCAAAAACCTGTGTAGCGTGTGTAGAGGAGAAGAAAAAAAATGGGGGGCGCCGTATATCGTCACAATCATACATTACAATCATATAGGAGGAGTTGGGGGAGATGTTTTCTTTTGTTTGTTTTCGACGTCGAACGTGTTTTTCTACCGCGTCGCTTAAGCCAGTGAGGTGGTCCTGTGGTACATAATGGCATATGGCTTGGAGTGACGTGGTGTGGTTTGGGGATGGTACGCTTGCTTGCTGTGGTGTGGTGTGGTCCGGCACGAGTACAATAATAGGAAAATGGAAAGACATGGTTTGGCATATATAACTTGTATGATGGAGATTTTTCACGGTTGGTTCGGTATATATTGGCACGGTATATGATTGTATTCGGAACGATTGCCCCCCTGCATTTGAACGAGCACTGCACAAGAGAAACAATGGTGGGGAGAAGTAGAACGCTGCAGCAGCAAAAGAGATAATGGCGGAGAGAAATAAAGCATTTATCTTGGCTGTCTGTGGGGGGGGTAGGCTTAAATGTTTGGTGTGTTTTTTTGTTGCCCTTGTAATGTGCCACGGGTATTTCCCCTCAGCCCTATCGAGGTCACCCCCAAAGTATCCATCGCGGTACCTGCCTTGTTGACTTATGTACAAGTATATGGCATGCATATCTATTTGTAGAAGCGAGAGAGAGGGCAAGCAAGAATGATATTTCGGTCCCCTTTACACTACACGTGCCCTCGGCCTTCCCCCTGCCGGACAGGGGGGAAGACAGCGAATCACTCGGTAGTACCCAAAACAAAACGCGCTGCGGACAGAGGCCACGAACAACCTACAACACAATGGTTATTGGGTATGGAGAGTGTCCCATTGGTTCCTTGGTTTCAAGACCACAACAACCAATCAGCGTGTTTCCCCCGAGGAGGCCACGCATCCCTATCCTAGACGCAGGGGACTGCGCAGCATGTTGCATTTCCTCCCCATTTTATTGCTACCAAGGCCGCGAATGAAGTTGCTTGCGCTTTGGGATTGGGTCAGCAGGGTGCTCTCGTGTTGTGAAGAAGTATTTCTTTTTCGAAAAGAAAGCAAATAACGGGCCATCACCGTCAAAACAAACAGGCATCTATTGTAGGCTACCCCTATTTGCACGACGCGACGCGCATTTGCACGACGCGACGCGCGTGCAAATAAGACGTGCACGCTTCGAAACGCCTCCGTGGATGGGTTGAACCTGGGTTATACACACACGTGACCGACCCAACCCAACCCACCCAACCCAACCCTAACCCTAACCCTAACCCTCACGGACGTCCAACCGGGGCCGTGGTGGCGAGACTGGCCACGAACGCGGCTGCGCCACGTTCGTGGTCCGCACGTCAGAACGTGGTCCGCACGCTGCGCGCGCTGTTTTGACCTATCACAAGTCGAGTCGTGCACGGTCTTATTTGCACTCGCGTCGTGCAAATAGGGGTTGCCATCTATTGTACTACTATACACCGTGCGTTTCGCGACGAGCTGCGCAACAAACGAAAAAGCCACCATATCACAAACAAAACGGACTCTCTCATCATCGGTCGAAGAGAAGGAATTGCTGCTGTGTTCTTTGCAAGAAAAAAAAAAAAAATCGTGGAGGGCTGGCCTTTCTTCCCTCCTTTCCGCCAGACAGAACAAGAGCTAACAAGCAGTTTTCATATCCGGTTTGACTAACTGGCGTGTGTGGTGTCACGAAGTAACCAGATCCAACTAAATTAAGTCCCGTATCCCGCAGGTGGTGTTCAATTCTCACTCACTTCAAGACAACACACTCACTCCCGATTGATCCTATCAATGTACCACGTCGAAAGTAGACGTTACAACAAGTAAACACGACAGGATGATGATGAGAACACACGGCCTCGACAAAACAAGAAAAAAAGCGCAAAACTTTGGGAAAACCCCGACAAGTTTCACGGGGACACGCGCACACACTTGAGACAGGCATCTATTGATTGGTCATACAGCGGGCGCAGTCCATGCCGGCCAACGAAAAAGCACTCTCACGCACACAACAACACGCCCTGCCTTCAAATTCTAGAGTGAACGACCTCGTTTAGCCTGCGCCAATCGAATTCGGTTCTACAGTAGAGTGTCTCTCTCGTGATAAGCCTATGCCGGAGGACGAGAGCCGACCTAGCCCTTCCAGACTATAACCAAGCCCAACGCAATACAAGTTTCGAGAGACACGACCAATCCATCATCCCGGGAGTTGCTTCTCTCTAGGCGGCGAAGAAGGCGAAAAAGAACGTCTCCACTCTCCTCCTAGGCTAAGGGTGGTATTATCCATGATTTTTGGCGCAGGAGCTTTCGAGCCGAACGCTCGAATCCCCGACCTGCCCAAGGGCGGACCGCACTCCCACGAGACAGCCTCGCCCGCCCTCTCTCCGACGACAGACCGTGAGAAAGGAGGAGCCAAGCTCAGCTGATATCGTCGCAAAACCGCCGCCAATACGCAGCAAGTGTGTGGGGCAGGTAGGTGTCCGCCCATGACACCACAACTCAAGCACGTGGTGGTCGTCGCTCCTCTCGTGGCCCCTACATACATAACACACGCCGGTTACAGCCCCAAGGGCCGTCATCTCGTCCGCGAACATTCCCAAAAAACAACTGACAACGGTGGTGGTGGCATCTACTGCTGCACACATGCCGTAAGCTTTCCACAACAAGAAAAACACGACCTTTTCCTCCCCGACTCACTACAAAGACTTCATTCACTTCATTCAACGCACACACCCCGTTCCAGTGCTGCTGTGGCCCTGCTGTACTATCTCAAAACGGGTAGTCATTCTTTTCTGTGTAGAATTTCTAAAAATTGAAACACCAATGTACGTTTTCAAATTCTGCGTAGAATTTCTCAACAAGATCAACAACGCACCCCGAGTTTTTGTTCAGTAATGTAAAAGCTAAGGTATTTCTCGAGCCCTAGCCTTGGTCGCAGACTTCCCGTCCAGCTTCTCCGACAGTATCTCCCGCGCCGCGGCTTCCGCCCCGTTCCCGTTGGCCCAGGCCGAGATCTTCCTGGCGCCGACAAGGACGAGGCCGTCCACGCTGCTCGCCTTGCTCGTGTCCGCGTTGTAGCGCTGCCCGTGTGCCCCTGTGTGGTGCTCCACCTTGTGTACAAGTTTGTTCGAGAGAAGCAGACCGGAAGGGGGGCCTGGTTATGCGTGCGTTGGGCTTGCAAGGGGCTTGCAAATGGAAGCGCTGCGGCGTGCGAGCAGACAAGGGCCCGTGCCTGCGGCGGAACATGAGGAGCGAAACGAGCGTGGTCGATGACAACCTTACCCTGTAGACCCGTCGCCGCCGACATCTACCACTCCCCCCCGTCTTGGGACGACAAATTTGAGCCACCTTTGGCAAAGTAGGAAGGAACGATTGGCCATCGGCGATCGGTCCTGTGGGAACAATGCTCCGTCCTCTCGAGGATGCGTGGTCAATGGTCTAACGGCTAGGCATGCAAAACATATGAGTGCGCACCCCCCCCGTCTCACCCTGCAGTTCTTTGCCCGTATCGTGCGAGAGTTCCCGTAGACGCGGGAAATCCAGTCGTCCACATACCTGCAGCCAACGGCAGCACAGGTGCGGTCGGCCGGAGAAATGGCGGTCGCATCGGGCAGAGAGAAGCGAGAGGCGGGTTCGGGGCTCATTTGGGGGGTCACGTCTGCTACAAGCAAGCGCCCCGTTTGTCAAACCGGATACTTGTAGACAAACCGCAATTGCATTTTGGTAGTATTGTACGTCCCCCCCTTGTGGTTACGGAGAAGCTGGGCGGAAAAAGCTTGAAAATTCGGCCCCAGGAAGGGGGGTGACACGTGTTGGTACTCGTAGCCGTGCATGCCGTAGTCGTCGTTAGACCATTGACCTCGCATCCCGACAGGGGGGGGGGACTGCAAGCCTACGCGTAACCCTTCTTGTGCAAGGAAAGGGGATAGGGGAGGGTGGGAAGCCAGACTCGGGGCTCGCGTCTGTCTCCTTCCAAATCCGCGCTTTTCAAGCACTATGGTGCCGCTTCTGCTCGGAAACATAGTAAAAGGACGATTGGGACAATCACAGTTGAACCCGAACGGTCCACACCGTAGGTAAAATGACGCAAGACACCACACCCCCCGGAGCGATTTTCAAAGGTCTACTACTACACGACGAAGAGTATGCATACATGAAAGGACACCTTCTCGGAAAGCTCTAGACGAGACGGCTTCAACGCCGCCGTTTTAGGCGCTGCCAGTCATCATGTTGTAGAGAAATCTAGATTTGAAAACAACTTCAGGGGGGGGGGGGGGGGGGT